AATAATCAGGGTCAACAGAGGTATAATTAACGTTTAAAAAAATGTATAAATTCTTGATTTTAGATTCAACACCTTCCGCCCGGACCAAGTCTTCAAGGGATCGGTCGTCAAGGCACCCTACTGGATCTACGACGTCGAAATAAAGGTATCCAAAGGACATCGTTAATTAAGAAAAAAACCTTTTTTAAGTATTTCGGGGAATTATTTTTTTTAGTATCCAGTTTTCGCAGAACTTAAACTTAAAAACTATGAAAAATACAAAAACATGATTTTGGACCATTTTTTCTTCGACTTCCTAAAACACAACCAAAATTTTACGAAAAAATGAACAAAAATGCTTCCTATTGCGTTAATAGCAATATCTGGACATAAAGACACTCTAAGCGACTCTTGAATTTAAAGAATCCAGTAAACTGGAACCCTGGAAAACGTGAAACATTTCTTTCAACTAAAAATTTTATCTTGTTTAGGGCTTCGACGCGGTGGGCGAAGACTTGGTCTCCTTCCACCACATCACGCCCGACGAGATGCGGCTGTTCGAGATGCTGCTCTACCGCGTCCGCAAGCCCCCAACGCCCCAAAATCCAACACCAGACACTCTCATTTCGAAGGCAGATTCGAAAAACCATAACCGGTAGCCTGATTTCCTGAAAAAATTTGTGTAGAAAAACTATTGGACTGTTAGCAGGGGGGAAAACTAATAATTTTTTCCGGCTATTCGACGTTTTTCAGTGGTTTTTGTGTGCCAGAAAGTTACAAAAATATTTTATACATGTTGAAATTCGAAAATCTATCAAATTTTGGAAGTTTTTAACTCTATAAAATGCTATAAAAACGGTTTACATTTCGTTTACATAGTACGGGATTACTTAGAAAAATGAGTTCCCCCTGCTATCAGTCCAGTACCTAAAAACCCTAACTTTTGCCTTTGTACCTAACACTAGTCCAATTTATCCCAAATCCTGTGCATTGTTTTACTGGCAGCTTTAGGAAGCATGAGCTTTATTCCCGATTCACCACTTTCAAAATCATATGTGATGTTAGCCCTTTTGTGCCCTTCCCCTCCTTACATATCCCCCGGATTTGCGAATATGATACGTCCTATGAACTCAGCGCGTCATACGGGTGCTCATTCATTTTGGTAGCGTCGACACCATGGGTGTATATTTCGTGTGTTTCTAGAGAAATAATAAATTATGTTTTGGTTTACAGGGCGGAAAATACACAATGTCTGAATGGGTGAAAAGATAAAGCTAATTAGAAACTAAATAAATTCTAGCACTCAATTTTAATACAATCTACAGCAAAAAAATATTTTAATTTTAAATGATATTGATGAAAAGGTTTTATTACGGGAAGATTTTGAAAAATTCAAAAAGTTCTCGAAGGTTTCCGTAAAGGTACTCATTACGCTACCGTAGGCGTCGTTTGGTGCCCGGCGTTTTTATTCTTCCATGGACTGAATTTTCTTTTTTTGTCCGTTCTTCGATTTTGAAACATCTTTTTTTTGGTTTTTTACTTTTCATACTTTTTTGCATTTTGTGAAAATCATGTGCAGGACGCCTGGTACGCTCGGATAGAAAAAAATGGGCTTTCTGAACGTACAACACGCAACCTCGCCTAAAACCAGGCGGGCGTACCAGGCGAACTGCTTGTTTCACAAAAAAACTGCCAGTGTTCTCGTTAAAACCTTCTATTCGCTTCTCACTCGTAATTACAAGTCAAAAGTATCTCTTTTAGGCCATGTTTGAGCCTGCGCACAAACGCGCAAGACGGGATCCCAATGTGGATCCAATGAACCCGCAGCCCTCGGCCGTCATCCATATCAGAAATCTAAACTTCAAGGTTTCACTTGACCGCCTCTTATAACCTTCTTTTTAGGCGACAGAAGCCGACCTGCTCGAGGCTCTGCAAGGATTTGGGCGCATCGCCTACGCGACGGTGATGCCCAACAAGCGGATGGCCCTTGTCGAATTTGAGGTGAATTTTACGGAAATTGTGAAAGCTTGTACGATTCAAACCGATTGAAGTAGTGGTGGATTCATCCCTATGAATCGCATAAGCTTTATCCCATGCCGAGGTTTTCTCCTCACAAATGCCTACATCCGCTTTTAGACCCTCGAAGCCGCCACGAAATGTGTCTACTTTGCTGCCGAGAAGATGATCAACATTGCTGGGTACCCGGCACTCTTCAATTTCTCGTAATTTTCTGCTGATCGATTAATAGTTTTTGATTCAGGACTTCTCCAACCATCCAACGGCTCGGGCTCGAGTGCGAAGTTCCCAACCATGTGATCGTGATCTCCATCTCAAATGTGCAGTATCCGATCACCGTCAACGTCATCCGGGACATCTGTGCGCCGCACGGTGATGTCTTGAAAATTGCCATCATTAGAAAGGCTTGCTTACAGGTATTTCATACGATTTTACGATCAAACTTGATTAGGTGCTCGTCCAATTTGACACCATCGAGAGCGCGCGGAAGGCAAAGTACGCATTGAACGGGGCCGACATCTATTCGGGATGTTGCACGCTGAAGGTCGAATTCGGAAGGGTAATTTTCTATCAGCATTTCTTATTTTTATTCTTGTCTTGCAGCCAGAAACGGTGAAGGTGACAAGGAACGACGAGACTCAATTCGACTACACTCGTCCTGGTAATTTTTTCGCATATCAGAATCGCGAAAAGTAATTTTGCAAGCGTCATGTTTCGGAAAAACTGCGTTGTTATTTTGACCCTTTGTGTTCTTTTCGTTCTAAGAGAGGAACACAAATTCTTGAAAAGTGTTTTTAAAAAATGGCGTTTCGGAATTATTCCTTTCCAGAGAGTTTTTGAAATTCGGATTGTCGCAAACGAGTGGGGAAATCAACGGTGTGCTTTTTAAAAGCTGGTCTTTCAGATTTGGATTCGAATCCGAACACCGTGCATTTTCAACCCACACGAGCTCCCCTCATCGGCGGGCCAATGTCGAGTCAGATGCAGCCGCACCCCGGCGCAAGCGTGCATTATGACAATCAGCTACCACCATTCGGCTACTCGGATCAGCAATGTAGGCTGTTTTCGTCTAACTTCTAACCTCCATTTGTAGACACAACCCCGGCACCGCGGAACCCGGGCTTCGCCGACAACTACGGCCGTGACCATCTTGAAATGCCAGGTACATTTCTACCTAGCTTTCGGAAAAGTTTTGTTTTAGAGAATACAGCGATCTACCACGACTACAACAAACCGCCGATGATGGGACGAAGCCTGGACCCGCGAGCCCAGAACTACTATTCGGAGGGCGACAACAATCGGCAGCGAACAAATGATGCTTTTGGTGGAACGGCGGTGCTTATGGTATATTTTTCTATATTAAAAACTTCGGTTCTTCAGTGTTTCTCGGGGTTGGGTCCGAATTTGTTGACGTAGTATCCACTTTTTTCTGCTTAAAGGGATAGGGACGGCATAATGCAATAGATTACGCGCGGGAAAGAAAATGTCTCTGCGCCTCCCCCCCTGGGCGCGCACTCTGCCCTGTTGGCTACTTGCCAATTTGTTGATGGGGGGGGGGATCGACACATGCCGTCGGCAGCCCTTTAAGAGACATAGTGTTTTAGGCTGTTTTTACGTTTCTAAATGCCGAAAATTGTACAGAGTTTATCAACACAGAATAGCTATTTTCAACGGAAATTTGAAATTTTTTGAAGTTTTCAAGTTAGTTTTTCACCGGCACAATAGCTAAAACAAAAATAGAGAACTTTCTGTGACGTTACTGGTCATTTTTTGACTTTTAGGAACAATTTCGATCCCCCTCCGGGAATTCTAAAGAACCGAAACCCCATATATTGGCCAATTCTTGCAAAAAAAAAGCGCACGGTAAAACGGAAATTCACATTTTATCAAGCTGCATAACTTTTTTTTCATTTCGCTATTGACACAAGCCATTTCTAAGATCTACGGCATCAATCACGACTCGTTCAACTGTGACAAGCTGTTCAACATACTGTGCCAGTACGGCAACGTTGATCGCATCAAATTCATGCACAGCAAGGAGGACACGGTCATGGTACAGATGGGGCACACCTTTCAAGTAAATTTCACATCCTTTTCTTGAAGATATCCCATTTTTCTAGGTGATTTCGGCATTGCAATTTCTGCAAGGAGCCGAGCTGTTCGGCTGCAAGCTGACGCTGCGCCCATCGAAACAGTGGGAGGTGGTGTTGACGGGTCGCGGCTTCGATCTGCCCGATCAGACGCCCTCCTTCCGCGACTTTTCCACCTCAAAGCATCAGGTATCGTTTAGTACATCTTTCTAACCTTATTTTTAGCGCTATACAACTCAAGCCCTCGCCGCCAGGAATCGCGCTTGCTCCCCGACGAAAATAATACACTGGTTCAATGCCCCCGTCTGCCTTGACGAGCAAGGCATTATTGATGTAGGTTTTTTTCGGTTCTGGTTCGTTATCGGTGGGGAGGCTCTCTGAATCAGCGCAACCTCGAGCGTAATTAGTATTTTGAGTTGTTTCCGATTACTGAAAAATGTTGGAAACTTTTTTAAATTAAATTCGATGACGAAATCTGGAAGTTTTGATAATCGGTTTTCGATTTTTTATAACGAAAAAGGCTATTATAACATTTTGGTTTCTGATTCGATTCTACAGGAATATAGGAAAAATCTGGTCGCTCCCCCCGCTAATAAACCAGAACTTTTTTCTTTCGGTCGTTTGAATCAGTATCTTTTTAGCTCTTCCAAAATGCGGGTGGACCGGTCCCGCTGAGTGTTCGGGTGAATCAGGCGCGCAGCGAGAAAAGCCATTCTGGAACGGCAGAGTTTGCAACCGTTGTAGAAGCCACTGAGGTACCTTACTCTCTCTGTATCTAACTTTCTTTTTCAAGGCCCTTGCCATCGCCAACCACACGCCGATCCAAGCCCCCAACTTCCGCCTGCCCTTCATCGTCAAAATGGCCTTTTACGCGCCGGCGATTCCCTCGAATACCGCCCGCGACGATCACTTCACCCAACAATAACCGTCCCACTTTCCGCTCACTTTTCCCGTGCTCTATTTGCCCCGCAACGCGCCTATTTATTGTTCTTCATGTTGTTCACATTAAAATTGTAACTGGCTCGCCGTTTTCAAATCGATTTTACTTGGTTGATGATGCGGGGCTTGATATTGTTGTCGAATAAAACCTCATTAATGTAACTCTACTTGTTTCGACTTGTTGTATACAAATATTTTTGAAGGTGTGATTGCGAAGGTAAAGAAAAAAAAGCAATTGAGGATGTTGGAAAATTTTTAAGGCGTATCTATTTAGCGCTTCAAGCTACTTGGAAAGTGCTTTTCCAATCTAACCGGCGGGATTTTGGGCATCTTTCAGGTTTTGGAGACATTTTAGCTAGCTGCATGCTCCGACTGGGTGGGGTCTAGCGACGATTTCGAAAGCCCGCAGTGTCGATAGTAGCGCCCCGTACCAAGGAAAAATTCCCGCCCGACTGCTGAAGCGGCTTGTCAACTCTAAAATCAGCTGTGAAATTCAAAAATCTGTTTATTCTGCTCGTTTTATAAGTGATCTAAACGGGAAATAGCTTGTTATATTGCTTTTCGAATCTGCCGCAAGATCGGTAAATAAGGAACAACCTTAAATTTTTTACTTATTTTATTTCTGGTTGGATCAGCCTTCAAAACCCGTGTAGAACCGGCGTACTGAAATTGGCTACTTTCAAAATAGTCCACGCCAAGCCATGAGTGAGCGGGAGTTTATGTGTAAAAAATGGGGGCTCACGTGATTCCTGTCTAGACACGTTCCAGCCGCCGAAAAGGGCTTATGACTAACTTCCGTTCCTTTTCTCTTCCTTGTTGAGTGTCTACCTCCGGTTAAACCTTTGAAAATAGCTCATTTTCAGCAAGATGGGCGCCACGGACATCACATACGCGCCGAAAAAAGTCGAGGCCAAGCTTGAGCAGACCAAAAGAGGTGCGCCTGGCAAAAGTATTTAATGATGTAGATGTTTTAGTTGGACCAACAAATTATTGGGTTGGAACGTAAGTCTCCGCGTATTTTCAAGCTCAATTTTCGCGCCGATATCGAAACTTTTTTGCTGAGTCCTACATACCATTAGAAAGAGCATTTTTTGCTCTACAAAGCTGCTATAGCCGCTTATTTTATAACCGTTAACTTCGCATATATTTCGGGGAACGAAGTGTCGGCGAAAATGACCCTCGAAAGCTCGACGACCGCACCATGCAAATTTTTTCCTTGCCATAATTACGGATTTCAATCTCATCCATTACGCGGACGCCCAAGCGGACTATAGGTTGATGCCATAGATTAACAAGTTTATGGATTCCCTTCCGCTAAACCCGGGCTCAAATTATCGCACCAGACAGTAGTTCTCGTTAGTTGACGTCTCACCATGAAAATTTCGAGATAGCTCTGTTTTATTTTGAACGATGTAGGTTCTTCTAGATAGGCAGAAAAGTCGAGCATGACGCTTGCGATGTTTTAAATCATTATTTTTCACGCAGAAATTAGCAAGTGTAGGCAGAGCGCGTTTCGGTCATTTTTCGATCAGCTAAAAATGATTAAAAATCTACTTCAAAAATAAACTAATTACATGAAAAGGAAGAAGAATAAAAACTCTTTTGACGTGCAATAGGTAACCTGTAAAATTACTGAGCTATCGCGCTCAAAATCGAGCTCGAAGGAAAACGGCGATTTTCATTCTAACCCATTAATTCGGAGCAATTTAAACGCAGAAAATAAACGAATGCCGGTGCCTGATAGAGAAAAGGAAGCTCTTTCGAATGATATATAACACTTGGTCCAAAGTACTCTGGGGAGAGAAGCAGCGAGCTTCGAAAAAAGCGCAGAGACTTACGTTCCAACCCAATATGTATTTTTAGGTGCGTCCGATCAGCCTCAAAGAACTGGAAGAGCCATCAGGGAGTGAAGAGCCAGATGCTCCGGGCGAGTTCTACTTCCTGGACCCGGGCTCCTTCGAATCGACAAACGATATCCTGCACCGAGAAGTGTTTTTGGTACGTGTTAAAGTTTTTTGGTCCAGAATTGATAAATTTTTGGAATTTAGTGTGGCAGAACGCTTTTGGCTTTACCAAGTTTCAAGAAAATAGATCCTGAGAAATCAATTATTTCAAAAATCACCGCTCAATCCGCTTTTAGAAATGCCAAGAGGCCGGGCTCGACCCACGCTGGATGAAGATGGACATCGTCGAAAAGTCGGAACGCGGCGACCCCAACTTTTACGTGCTGCCGAGATTTGAAGGGCCAGCGTACGAGATTCTGAAGGAACGACGATGCAAGTATGGCCGATCCTCGGAATTCTATGATATGGAATTTAGGACAGTTTCCTCGTTTCTCGTACGCGAATGTCTGCGACTGGACAGATGCTTGGTCAAAATTGACATCCCGGTGTATTCGCTTCATCTAGACGGCGTCAAAGTGACGTTCACCGGATTTGCCACGGCCGAGAAGGTAATTCTTGCTGATTTGCCGGAAAATTATTGCGGCATTTAGAAGCGGCTAACGGAGCTGGTCTACGCGATGGGCGGCCATTCATCACCGCGCTTCAGCCATGAAATCACACACCTCGTCGCTGCCCGCTACGACCCGACGAATCCGGACAAATATCAGGTAATCCTTGGTTCTGGTTCCTTAGCGGGGTGACAAAACTTTCCCCAAGTGGTGAAGCCGCCCAAAAATCAATATAAATTGTTCAATAACTATCTATTTTGAATGAAAAGATTCAGATAAGTATTAAAACTTTCGGATTTTTTTATCGAATGTCTGAAAAATGTTCAAAAAATTTTTTTTTTATTTTTAGCTGTTTTATGAACCTTTTAGTTATGGGAATCTTCTAGAAACATTATAAAGATGGTGGGTATGAGTATGTGGGATCAAAATTACAGGTTTTTAACCCCAGTAGTTTTTAAGATTTTTGCGTTTCTCTCGAGGGCACTTCAAATTTTTGACGGGGGTGGTACCCAAGTGCCCAAACCACCGTGGTTAAATGTTAACCACCCATGGTTAAATTCTAACCACCCATGGTTAATTTTCAACCACCCATAGTTAAAATTTAACCACCTCAAATTGGCTGTAAAACGTCGAATTTTTGAGGCGCAATACCAGGCAAGGCACAAGACCTACAGTCCAGGGAATTTTTATATGCATACTTTCGGACACCTTCTATCGAATAGCGTTGAAATTTTGGTGTCATTTCCTTGAAAAGCGTCCGAAAATGACGGTGGAAATTTAACTACCTATGGTTAAATTATAACCACCTATGGTTAAATTGTAACCACCCATGGTTAAATGATAACCACCCATGGTTAAAATTTAACCACCCATGGTTAGAATTTAACCATGAGGACCCAAAACACAAAAAATTAACCACCCTCGGATGGAGGGTTTTTGGGATCAAGGGTAAAAATGCGTCCAAGATTCGATATTGCCAAAAACCATGAATTTGGGCGCTCCAGAGGGTATTCTAGCCGTTGGTGAGGTTCATTTGGTCAAGAAACTTCGTGCGCGGGCCTCAAAGGCGAAGCAAAAATTTAACCACCCATGGTTAAATATTTCGTGAAAACGCTTTCACGAAATATATAACCACCGTGGTTAAATTTTTTGGTAGAAAGTTAGCAACCACCCGGCCTCAGATCGCCCAATTTTTATCAAATTTCTTCAAAAATCAAACTCAAAAACATTGCGGGTCTCTATTTCGCATGTTCTCTCGTTCGGCTTCACCCCCATTTGCTCTTTCAATAATACCGCCTATCACCTACATTACCTCCCATTACCTATACCGACCTAGCCAATTTTGTGTAGCGCTTCCTATTGTTCTTACTAGATCTCCTGACCACCCCACCTCCCAAACCCTCCCTCCCCCAACCCCTTCGGGGGTCTTTTGGGGTGTCCCGAGAGTGGTTTGGATGTGGGGGATGGGGGTAAATGGGGGTCGGGAGTTCTAGTTCTCACTCTTAAAGTGCCAAAACATTTACAATATTTATGAACTCAATTTTTTCCATGGTTTTTGGACATTTTCTGTTTCCAAACTTCTACGACCAAAAACCCATAATTCTTCGGAAAACTTCATGATCAAAAATGTTGAGTCTTTTCACCCCCCCGGATTTCGGTCCCAGAAGCCTCTGGGAAGGCACTCTCTTCGCATATAGGTTCACGAATGGCTTAGAAAGCCTTAAATTGGGTCCACGGCGCTTCACCCCTAGGAATCGTCATCGAAAAACGTGAAAAAGTGGATTTTGCTGGGTGGTTAAATTTTTTCGAGTTGGGTGGTTAAGTTTTAACCATGGGTGGTTTAAATTTCACCATGGGTGGTTATAATTTAACCATAGGTGGTTAAATTTTAACCATGGGTGGTTAAAGCAGGGTGGTTAAATTCACTTGGGTACCACCCCAGAACCTACCTTTCTCTGATTGTTTTAACCCCATTATTTTCGTATGCTCGTCAACTGCGGATACCGATTCTGGAGTCGGGTTGGCTGGAGGACGCGTGGACCAGGGCCACCAACCACGAGCCGGGCAATTTTTCCGCCGAGCAATTCTACGAGCCGTACCGCATGCCGTTGTTTAAGGGACTGGTGAGTTGCGGTTGTCGTTTTCACGCTAATAAAAAGTCGAACGTCAAAAGCTTAATCGCCACGAAATTTTAAAGATTTAAAATATTTTTTAGTTTTTCAAAACAAATGTTTTGTTAAACCGGGTGGATCCGGAATTTTAGAAAATCCCAATAGGCGTGTCGGATTGACAACAACCAATTAATTTAAGAGAGCTAGATCCCTAACTTTATTTTTATTTTTTGTTAATTTTCTCATTAATGTTTTCTAGGTCATCACCAAGACCGGCGTCGCCCAGGAACAACTAGCCGATTTGATTCGAGCGATCGAGATGAATGGTGGAAAGTACATAAAATTTTTTTACATCATATTGTTCTTTTCATAGATATTCAGCGGCGCTGAACAAAAACTGCACGCACATGATCACCGAGC